CAATTTGTTGCATTTATTTGGGGTCTTGGGATTGCAATCTGGAAGACACAGATTTCGGAGGCAACCTAAACTGTGTTCCGAATTCTGACAGTTTAGGGTTTTTAAAGGTAAATGGCAGGAAGTTTGTTCATTTACATGAATTGTTTTGAACAGTTTGTGATTAGAGCTGGCAGGGAAATTTGTACACTATTCAGTTCCTGATTGGTTGCTGTGGCCGAAGCCAGGTGAGTCCACGTAAATCCACAGTGGTGGTTTCAGGAATGCGGCGTGGCAGTGGGCTGTATCCGCCATCCTTCTGAGATGTGAAACTGCCAACGTGTGCAGACCCCCGTCTCCTAAGGGCCTTCTGGCCCCATCTGAGTTGTTTCCCTTAGCCATGATGACTCCATTTTGATCTTAGTCTATCACGTTTCACACACATTGCATTTGGTTGTTTTTTTCTCCTAGCATCTTTTAACTTTGACCTGTGTTTCAGCCTGTCTTTGCCTTTCATGATCCTAGCATTTTAAAAAGTCATATTTTATAGAATATTCCTCAAATTTGGATTCCTTATGATTAGATTGAGGTTGTTATGTCTTTTCAGTAGGGATGCCACATGATGTGTGCTGCATCCTTAGAAGCACATGGTATTGGTCTGTTCCATCACTACTGATACTAACTTTGGTCACTTGGTTAAGGTGGTGCTTACCAGTTTTCTGTATAGTAAAGTAACTAGTTTTGTCTTTGTAATTTGTATTTTATGAGAAACAGTTTGAGACTAGGTTAATGTCATATCATCTGCACTTAGATTATTTTCTAATTCTTATGCCTTTAATTGATTTCCCATTTTGAATTCTTTTGACTGATACCTGCAGGGTGAACTAACCCAGCAGTCTACCTGTTTTCGACCCGGATAAATGAGGCTCAGCCTTTATGTTTTGGTAGCCTGAGTTTAAATCTGAGGAGGTAGATTTGGAGATCCTCTACTGATGGCATATGATAGAATATATTATATAATATTGACATAATTAACTAGCAGGATATAAAATTAACATACAGAAACCAATAGCCTTCATAAACATAAACAATAACCAGGTAAAGATATAATGTAGAGAAGACCCACTTACAAAAGCAACAAATAAAATACTGAGCAACAAATTCAATAGGAAGTGTTCAAAATCTGTATGAGGAAAACATTAAAACACTCCTGAAAGACAGGGAAGTAGATCTGTACAAACGGAGAGTCCTCCGGTTCCCGGAAAGGATGACTCCATGTAATACATCGGTCAGTTCTCCTCTAGTAAATTGGTAAATATAATGCAACTCCAATAAAAATACAAAAAATTTTATTTCTAGATCCTAAACGGATACCAAAATTCGTATGGAAGAATAAACACGTAAGAATGACTAGGAAAACCTGAAAAAGAAAAGCTGGGCACCACGGAGGAAGGGCACCAAGGTGCCTCCCCCTGCCGCCAGGAGCTGGTACTGCACCCCTTTTGAACAAAGCTAGTCTGGTCCTGTTCTTAACTCGCATTGGAATCCTGAACGCTGAGCGTTGAAGCTAAAAGGGAACTTGCTTTTTTAAGACATTCTATACCATCACTGAGGGCCCGTACTCTGTTTACCATCTTTGGAATTCCTCTGCGCTTTAGAGTCCAAATCCTAGAGATAGAGCTCACAGAGGGAAGATGAATGGAAATGCCTTTGGCTGAGCCGCAATTCTCATTATGGGATTTGAGAAAACGCAGGAGTGACGGGAGATTAAAAGAGTGAAAGGAGAAGGAAGACTGGATTCTTGTTGCGCCAGGCTTTTTATGTACAGTAGTAAATCCCTGAGAAATGGATGTCCTAGAAGTCATTTCACAGGTTAGAAAAAGTTAAAGGATGATTTTTTTTAAAAGGTATAATTGTGATTCTAATACAAATATAAAATGGACACATGCTAAAGATTTTATTGAGCTCACTAATCAATGGAGAAACTAGTAAGATGTAACACTGGTTCAGAGGACAACCCAAAGTCCAGACACGCACAGGGACAATCAGGGATGCAAAAATGAATTTGCTAATAGGTACAAAACTGGTCTCCAGCCACAGGAGAATCATTGCCTGCATCTTTATTGTACATAATTTACTTGCATCTCCATTTTTTGATTATCAGTTTTCTACAACCCTGAGAGTTGTCACGTAGCTCAAATGGCAAGGAAAGGCACAGATCCTTCTAGAAGCAGATAACCCCTGGAGGGCTCCTCTAGATGATCTAGAGTGAAATTAAATAATGCCTTCAAGACTTCACAGCAACTCAATAGAAGATCTGGAATTCAAATCCAAATCTCTTTGTCTCCAGAAAGTCAGGCTCTTTCGCCTGCACCAGGTGACTTTTGGGCCATGAATGATGATTTCAGCAGGAGTCATGGTATTAACCGTTCATCACCCCGTTTAGTTAAAACTCCTTGGTCTCAAGAGCAGAGCGCCCCTTCCACAGAACAGACCTGCAGCAACTTTCCAAAGTCCCCCAAAGCTGTCAGAGGTCTGCAGCCCTGAGGACAGCCCCGCTGCCACACCATTGTTCCCTTGCAAGTCTGGGGGGCTTGGAGCTGGTCTGAGCCCTGGGAAAATGCTAGAACGGTCTCAGACTCCCACCGCACCCTGCACCTTGGTGGGCTGAAGGAACTGCTGTAGCCAGGTCAGATCTTTGGTGTGGAAGTCACAGGACGCTTGTAGAGCCAGATTATACCTTCATCATGTAGCCGCTTCCACAGTGTTTTCTCTAAATTGAAGTCATGGTTGATGTAAAAGATGGTTTTTTTCCATGACTTATCATAGTAGTGATTAGAGAAGTGCTCATGGCCCTCGGTGATAAAGCCATAAGCACTCACCTGTATAGAAATGGAGGAGAAATAAGGTCTCTGATTGCTCTTTCCCAGGCTGCTTCTCATGGGCTAACTCTGTGTTGAGGGTGGAGTTCCTTTATCTGGCTCCATCCCTGGGGGTCTGGGTACAGCTCTCATGCCCCACCACCACACCCTTGTGCACACGTGTGTGTCCACACTCATGCCCACTCCCCTCACCCCAGAGGGGAAACCCAGCCACTGTCCCACGTGAGCAGGCCCAGGAATCACCCCGAGCTGTTTCTGCAGGCACTCCTGCTCCTGACGCAGGGACGCACCTGGACATGGAGCCTTACCTGGTCACAGAGCTGAAGGGCAGTAAGCAGCATAAGGGCCCCAGTGGTGGGGCGGTATATTCTCCAGTGGGCAGTTTTCAGGGTCTTAGACCTCAGAAACCTGTGAAACACCCCAGTCCCGCAACTGTCAGGAGCTGTAGGGCTGAGGGACCTGGTCCCTCACATGGGCTTTCTACTCTCACCTGTTTTTCATGTAGCGGAGCAAGTCTGGGTGCAGCAACATGTACCTGTCCAGATGCAAGGCTTCCCGAAAAGCTTCCAGGGGCCTGCGCCTGTGTCAGGGATACTGTTCAGGCTCAGTTCTCTTGCCCCATCTGGTGTGGGCCAAGCCAGGGTCATGGGCATGACTGGTACCCCATCTCCAGGTGACTGCCCCCACCTATCCTACCCTTTGCAGCTGTTCACTGCACAGCTCAGTTTGGGCATGGGGAAAGGGCAGGGTACCTGGACCAGAGGTTATTTTTCACCAGGGTCTGATTCAGAAGCAGTGCTTCTAGCCACTCATAGTCCCGGGTGCCTTCTAGGAAGTGCAGGTAGTGAACATCCTGAGGACCAAGGACGGCATGTGGTCCAGACGTCTGCCTTCAGGACTGTGGGCTGGCGGGGCCCGGCTCTGACTCCAGCCCGCCCACTTGCTGTCCTCCGGCCTGGCCTGGCTGTCTTCCCTGCTGTTGCCTATCGTGTGAACAGAGCCCGTACCAACCCCAGACCCCAGACACCGGACGATCATCCCCTTTGTCACCTGTGTGCTCCCTTATCAGGCTGTGTCGTGACCAAGCCCATTCCTCTTTGCTCACCTTCCCCAGAGGCACGTGCTGGAAGCCCCGACTGCCCAGTATAATAAGTGACTGGGTCAGGGAGAAGGCAGTGAAGCCGTAGAAAGACGTCCGAGTCCCCACATCCTGTTCGTAGCCCTTGATGACAGCTCCGCTCAAGCTATAGAGAGAGACCAAATCAGACCACATGAGTGCAGGCGCCGAGATGCATGGAGGTGGGTGGGAAGAGGAGGAGAAACGGGGAGGCAGCAGCTACGCATGGAAATTCCCCTTCCACGTACAGGCATGGATGCCTATCAGATCTTCGCAAAGAGCCTGTCTCGGCGGGAGGGGGACCTTGGGGAGGGCAGGCTCACCGGAACACGTAGTCGTGGCCGTCTATCTCTCGGCCCATGCGGGAGTTGTTGAGGATGCCCCCGTTGCCCACCACGGCACAGCTGATGCACTGGGAGCTCCCCGCTGGGAGGCTGGCCAGGAGCAGCTGCTGCTCTGCCACTGGGGGGAAGCGTGTCACCACATTCTGCACCACTGGAATGGGGGGTTCCACTCAGAGCTCTGCAAGGGCCAGGGGTCCGGGGCTGGCGGCCCCCAGGGACGAGGTAGATCAGAGACAAAGAGCCAGCTGCCCTCTGCCATGCCTGGCACACACCCAGCCCCGGGGCAGGGACTCACAGGAAAAATTGAGCTCCATGAAGCCAAAGGGCGGGGCAAAGTGCTCCAGGCGGTCCCACTCACTCCGGTTGAAATGTCTGGAGTCCAGGAAGAGGGTGAGGTTGGCCAGAAAGAGTTTCCGGAACCAGAGTGACTTGGAGGCTTTGACCTTCAGTGAATCAGGGCAGGTCTGCGTGCAGGAGGACGGGTCAGGGCAGGGAGAGGCCCAGGAGGGCCACAGCCAGGGGCTGGACTGCGCGGCAGGAGGCGGAGAGCGGGCCTCAAAGTTCGGAAGGCACCACCTCTGCTACCTTTTCCACCCTATTTCCAGGTCTACTGAGCCTCCTGGCCATTGTCCAGGCCCACTCTAGTCCTGAGGGGTCCCAGAGGGCAGGCGGTTCTTGCCCTCAGGGCAAATGCAACTCTGAAGATGCGGGAGGAGCAGCCTGTGAGCGTGCTCCCTGGTGCGGGGTTGCAGTTACAAGTGTGAATGTGTATTTGGGGTGCTCCCCTCCTGTAGGTGTGGCCCAGGCTGCTTTCCTTAGGGGTGGAGGAGAGGGAAGGTTGGGGAACTGCTGTACATTCCCAGGAAGCAGGGCTGGGTGTCAGGCTGGGCGTCAGGCTGGGGTATGCTTGTTGGTCAGTGCCCCCTCCATATTCCCTTCAACCCTCACCCCCTCTGCCTGCAGGAGGATGGGGAATCAGGGGTCAGACCCCAGAGCAGGTCACACTCTCCCACCCTGACAGATGGCCTAGGCCTTCCGGGGCACAGGGCAGCTCCTTCTCCTCACGCTGCCCAAGCTAGGATTTGGGTTTGGCCTTTAGAGGAAGGAGGGGTAGAGGGTAGCTGTGTAGGGTGACAGCACAGGCTGGGACAAGGCAAAGCCTAGGAGTGGAGCCTGGGGGGAGAGGGCGAGGGTGGGTGGGCTGCCTGCCGGGAGGGGCTTCAGCACAGGGAGGTCTGGACAGAGGTAGTGGCAAAACTCACCGTCTGTCGACCCCCAATGTCCAAGCTGTAATTTTCCTCAAAATCCCACTGAGGCTCAGAGCGGAAATTGCTGGCCCGCAGCCTCTGGCCTCTCTGTGTGGCGAGGCCCTGGAAAGGGGCAGAAGGCAGGGTGGCCTGGGAGCCCGTGGGGGCCGCTCCTCCTGTTCTCCTTCCCGTTGGCCCTGGGGTGGTCCACACTTCGGCCTGACTTTCTCCAATGGGCATCTTTGCTGTGGCCACCCCTTTGCCCCAATGCCTCCCTGGCGCTGTCCTCGGGGCGGCTGGCTTCCGCGGCCAACCCCTCCTTCCTCTGGTTGTCCTCCTGTCCCAGCTCTTCAGCGATAGTACCTCTGTACGGTCAGAGGCCATCTCCCCGCCCTGCCATCCCCAGGACAGCATGTCCCCCGCGGTGTCCCGGCTCTTCCATGACGGCGGCTTTGCTGTGCCAGGCATGCTGCCCCTCTCCTCTGCTATGGCCCAGACGGCCCCTGCTCTTGCCCTCCAGTCAGCAGGGTGGCCGGCAGCCACGGGGCCTGCCCCCAGCTTGCTGTCCCCTTGTGCTGACGCCGCACGGCCAGCTGTCCTCCTTTCTGCTGTGGGTGCCTGGGGTGTAGCATTCTGTAGCCACTCCAGAGACCTTTCTTTCATGTTCTCCATATTCTGGTGCCTAGGGACGGAGAAAACTTTTGATGAGGGCCGAGGATTGTGGAAGCAGGTCAGAAACAGAACAAGTGTTTATTCTGATTCCTCAGGTGGAATTTGGCCAGAGCCCAGGAGAGATGAGGGGAGGGGTTATCACCATCCACTCCCCCAAATCAAGCTGCACCTTTGACAGTGGGTCTGGACACTCACCTCTGACTGATCAGGGCACCTTGGTTGTGGCACAGAGTTTGGGGTGCCAGAGCTGGAAGCCAGGAACAGAGCCGAAATGCTCACCCAGCACCACCCTCTGTGCCCACTCCTTAGTGGCCCCCAGCGTCCACTACATGCCTCACAGGCAGTTCTAAGAATGCATTTGCATGAACCTGGTCCTGTCACCTAATATCTGTAGGATTCAGTTGACCTCTTTATTTTCTTAATGCAGCATAAGTAACAAAGGTAACCTTGGTCACCAGGAAATGGGAAAGCCGCGTTCGTATTAAGATTATAGCTGTCAACCTTAATTTTGAAAGAGCTGTCTTAAGTACCTTACACCCTGCTGAAAAACAACTGCTGCTTGTCGGCACTCCTAGGAAAAATACACATACTCAGCAAGTTTTGTCAAGAGCCCCCAGTATTTGCCGCATCTCCTGTTTGATGCTGGGGACCACGAATGAAAGGTGTGTTTCCCAGCCGTGCGTAAGAGGAATGCTAATGAAGAGGAGTTGGGTAATTAGAATATGGAACCCGAATCGTCCTGGGGAATGTGCGATTTCAGTGGGCACAGGGAGGGGGCTGTAGGCAGGTGACCCTGTCTGAGCAGGGGCTGCTCCCAAACAGGGAGGCAGGGCCAGATCGGGATTTGCATTGTACGTCAGACTAAGGAATTTGAACTGTATCACTTGTTTCCTTGTCCAGGAGGAGCTTTTTGAAGAATGTCAGTGGGTGAGGGGGGCAGGGGTACTGGAACAGGGCGAGGCGCACATGAGTGGATCTCCACCCTGGAATGCTTTTCCTAGCGGTGGTACAAGACAGATGCAGGTGGCTGGTCTGACTTCTGGCTCTCAGGTTTCTGGCTCCAGGGATTGTATTTACTTCACTTTCTTTATATTTTTGACTTTTATTGAGGCTATCAAAGGTTTCACTTAATTTATGCAAATTCACGTCAGATGTTCTGCAGAGGAAGCTACATCCTCTGCTCTGCACAGTCCTCTAGTCGGACTTTGTAGAGGGGTCCCCGTGCTACACAGGTTTGGGGGAATTCCTGGGAGCCCTGGCAAAAGGAATCCTCTCTGGTGACCTCACCATTACCAGGTGGGCTGCAGGGGGGCCTTATCTCCTGCTCTTTTTCCCAGCATCCCAGGCACCCCTGGCTCATCTTGGTCACGCTTGTCCTAAGCGCCCCTTATTTCTGCACTTTCTAAGCCACATGTGACTACACAGAGGAAAAGAAACAGCATGAATGTGCACCAGATGGAGCTGACCGAGACTCCTAGCCCTTCCAGCTGGTGTGACTGGGAGAAATCTTCTTAACCTATCTGACCCTCAGTTTTCTTGTCTCTAAAATGGGCTTTTGCCTTTTGCTTTTGAGAGAAGTCTGCTGTGAGCATGAACTGACATGTGCTCAGCATCTGGCACAAAATACACACTCAACCCAGGAAGTCCCCCAATCCCAGAGATGCTCTGTTCCCAGTCATTCTGGGTGTACCAGGTGCAAGTCAGAGATCTACATGGTCTGGTCTCCAACTCCTCCTGTTGCAGCTTTGATTTCTACCCACACCCCTAACTCAACAATTATGAATTGATTCTTTCATGCAGCAAATATTTAGTGAGCACCTCCCGTGAGCATTTTACTAGTTTCTGGGGCCTCATTGATTGGCTTAACCAGATACATTTCTCCCTCCATGAAGCCTGTGATATTAAGGGGATGACAAATCACACAAATAAACATCCAATTCTTCATTAGGGGATGTGCTGGGGAAGGCGGGAGCCTGAGGAAGCCTCTGGAGGTAGCCTGACCAGGGTCAGTGCTAAAACCCTGTCTGTCATCAAATCAGTCATGTTTGGGGGTATATTTATTCAGCGGCAATGTCATCTCTCTCTTAAATTACAAACTCCACGGCGGCAGAAATCACTCTATGCATCCCTTCCAGCCACGTCACATCAGTGCTTTCAAAAGGCTTTCTGAGCCCAAAAAGAAACGGATTTAAACAAAAGCAGAATCGAATTTGAAATGTGTACATATGGAAGAATATTTCATTCAAGAAATGTTTACTAAATGTTTAGTCTGTGCATCAAGCTGACTAAGTCCCAGGAATACAGATCTGAATACACAGAATACACAGTTATTGTTACTAAAGGCAGAAGACAAGGGAACTTTTTCATTCCTACAAAACTGCAGAGCCGGCCCACAGTGATCCAGGCAACAGGCAGATTTCCTGTGTTAGCCCTTCCTCGATGAGGACCTCCCACCCCTTGGGGCCAGCCCTCCTGGTTGGCACGGTATTTGGTATTTCCTGCCTTCCTGGGCCCCAAGCAGGAACATTTGTTCAGGTCCTCCAGGAGGGGCACTCTTTGTTTTGACCTTTGAACTGAACAGGGACATAAATTCTCTGAGGGTCGGTGGGAAAGGGCTAGCATTGGTGTAGTTGCTTCTTACCCCTGGGGGTCTTTCCTCCTTGGGTCACCCATACTTATAACGGGCTTTATGTAGTGAATGCCTCTGCCTTAGTTAGATGGCTCAAAGAAGTAACTAGAATGAGAGATGTTTCAGACCAGGAAGGAGAGAAAGGCATGAGACAGGCTGGACTGTGACATAGGGCAGCCTGGAAGGGCTGGCAGCCTTCAAGCAAGGGTTTTTAACCAAGGAAAAAAAAGGGGGAAATTTATTATAAGGATGGAAAGTGTCTGAAGGAACCCAAGAACAAGAGATATTGAACCTCTAGAAGGGCCTGGAAGGAGCTAGTATTCTCCCTTTGAGGCTTTGTCCCTGTCCCTACCTCCACTCCCCGCACCTGCTGTCTTCTCCTCTGTCCCGCGTGGTGGTGGACGACAGGGCTGCCCCATAACAACTGTTCTCTCTTTGCTCCCAGGTGTTAATTTCTACAGGAGAGACTCTGGCCCACTTGGGTCCCTTCTCCATCCCTGGCCAGGGTTCTGGGTCACATGGTGAGTGACATGCTGGGTCCACCCTGTGCATGGGAGAAAGACAGTCCCAAGAGGAAGAGGGGATTATTGGCTCACGAGCTGGGCAGGCACCCCAAAGTGTCCTGACAGTATTACTGAATGCAGAGTGGAAAACCTGAGTTAGTCCAGAACGTACTCTTGATCAATTTACGCCACCTTTATTTAGTAGTGAGTGTACGCCACCTTTATTTAGGGATGAGACTCACTCTACTTCCATTTAATCTGACAATTGAGCTTAAGCTCCGAGCTTGCCACACAACAAAAGCCAGGGTATGAACTCTGTGTGGCAAACAGCTCTCCTTACTCAGCTATAACTCTTGGGCAACTGATCTCTGCTTCCCACCTCTGAACCTCAGGAGGCCTGCAGACGTTTTCCTTCTAAACTATAAGCACCTTAACGTGGCTGACTGGGGAGATGATGAGGCAGGGGTGTTTTTTTACCTACACATCTCAAGCATGCCGCACAAACAGCTGGCCACCTGCTTAGTGATCAGGTGGCCGGAGCGGAGAGAGGGCACAAGGCCTTCTTCTCTGCAGTGCCACCTAGAGGCAAAAGCGGGGACTGCTCTGCTTGCAAATGCTGCAAGATCCTGGTGACTGGTTCCTCTTTTACAGGAAGTTACGGCAATGACCCAGCTAGTGACAAAATTGTGTAATTTAGTTTCACTTCAGTTCCCTATGGTTAAATACACCTGTGATTGCTAGGGATGTGGGTGTTTATCCAGGCATTTCCTGCAGCTCATGTATGGTATTTACTGAATGCTCAAATTGCTTCTGTCCATATGCTGAGTGCCAGTGCCCTGTGTCCCTGCATCCGTCTTGTCCAGGCTCTCTGTGATCCTGAGTGTATCCACTGTGGGCAGGGCTGGGGCAAGGGCACCTTTCTAGTAAGGAGCCTCTACTTCAGAGGAACAGGCAGATCAACGACAGATCACATCCCAGCATAATTAATGTCATAATTCTGATCTATTTGAAAGGTAAAAATGTAAAGTGTTGCACTTTAAAAAACAACTTTATCATTGGAAGGGATCACATAGCTCTGTTCAGTAAATGAAACAAATAACAAAAGAAAAATTACCTGGCAGCCTCCTCCCTCTAAATTCTTAAGTACACATCACCAAGGGGAACCCGGAAGCAAAGAAATGGCAAAAGGTAAAATTTCACTTATGCCTGAAGCCATGAAACAACTGTTGGTAAGAGAGCAGTATTTCTCAAGAACAGAGCATGTATTAGAGTAAATTTAGGGGAATGCTGAGGTTGCTATCACGTTGAAGAATTGGCCAAATTGAAATCTGGCAGTAATACCACAAATCAAAGGTCACTAATAAATCCAGAAGGAGGAGATTGTTTTATCAAGGATAAGAAAAGAGCTCAAGTGACCTCCTTGCTGATCCAGCAATTCCCCTTCCAGGTATTTGACGAAAATGAAAACAGTGATTCAAAAAGATATCTGCACCCTCACGTTCTGCAGCATTAGTTACAATAACCAGCATATGGAAGCAACCTAAGTGTCCATTCATAGGTGAATGGATGAAGAAGATGTGATGAATATACACAATGGAATATTACTCAGCCATAAAAAATAAATCTTGCCTTTTGCAATAGCATGAATGGACCTAGAGGGCATTATGCTAAGTGAAATAAGTCAGACAAAGAAAGACAAATACCATATGATTATACCTATAGGTGGAATCTAAAAAACAAAATAAAACAGAAACAGACTCATAAATACAGAGAACAAAACTGATGGTTGCCAGAGGGGGTGGGGGTGGGGGGATGGGCAAAATAGGTGTAGGGAATTAAGTTATTAAATAAATACTAAGTCACAGGGATGTAAGATACAGCATAGGGAATCTAGTCAATATCACTGTAACAACATTGTGTGGTGGCAGATGGTAACTAGACTTAGTGTGATGAGCAGTTCATAATGTATATAACGTATATAAATCTTGATTCAGTAGGTTGTATACCTGAAACTAGTACAATATTATGTGTCAATTAGTCTTCAATAAAAAGCAAACAGCAAAAGACCCTTTGATTCCCTAAATAGTTCTGGGCTCTGCTGTTCTATGGTTCAGGCCCTGGAAGGGCCCCCGGCTGGGCGTGTCTGCCGCATGATGAGCAGGTGGTCGCACAGACGCGCCCCAAGCTCACGTCCTCACATGGCTGGCTCTCCCTCCACGATGCCCACCATCAGAACTCATTTTGTCTCTGGCCCTCGGTTCAAGTGTGCTTTGCTCTCCAGGGTTACACGCCTGGTTTTCCCCGCTTCTGCTCTGCGTCTCCTGGATAGGGGCACACCCCGCTGGTTCCATGGTGGAGCCCTTCCTCCCTCCCCCCACGTCGGGGCTCTGGGCATGGAGCCCCACTTAGTGAGCTGGGCCTGGAACTTCCAAAACTCCTCTGCTGTCCACATAGCCCTTCAGGGTCTTATCTGAAATGGAAACCAGCCCTTCTACTTTTCTTTTGAAAGTATTTTCCATGGGAAATCCTGAATGTTTTCACATGCGAATGATTTACATTTCAGAACTTCGCTTTGAAATTTTAGATGCGTCTACAAGTTGTTTGGATGACTAGAAGTTGTACTTTGCCTTAATCTGCCTTAATTCTCTTCATATGCACAAATCTGTATCTGCTGTTATTCTGGGTGTTCTTTTTACAAATCGAAGTCAATTCATTTGTTTCATTTTCAGCCTTTAAATCCTAACGGGGACAATATACACAGGGAACAAAAGGGGGAATACAGCCGAGTCAGCCCTGCATTGCTTGAGCAGCTGGATCCAGTTTCCAAAGCTTCCCCTGAGCTGGGGGTCCGAAGCACCCCGAGATTCCATTCAGCTAACTGGACTCCCTGTGGCCTGAATGATGGGAAGCTGGCTTAAAGGTGAACATTCCCCCTCCCAAGGACACACAAATGCACACACAGGCACACGGCTCCCCAGCCCCACAGGCAGCAGCCTTGTCGTGAGAGTTTAGCAGACTAGAAAAGACCTTGGCTGGGGTGGGGCCAGGAGACCCCAGGTAACCACGTAAGACAAGGTTTTTAACACAATGGCAGGTACAGGTCAAGAATCACAGATACGCCAGACCCATGTGGCCTAGTGGCTGGGAACTCAGCCTTGCCAGCCAAGGTTGCTTAAGGCAAAGTTTGTTTTTTGTCTCCTGTATCCAGTACCTAGGTTGTCCCTTTTGGGATAATCACACCTGCGTAAAATTCATTTAGGGGTTATTCCAAGTTCAGGTGACATTCCTGACCCCCTTGAGAGAGTGACCTTGAGGGCCGTTCCGAGAGAGGAGCACGTCCAGGCGATGAGTGGGCATGTTCCCTGGCGCCCTCTGGGGCAAGAACTTCCCCCTGAGAGACTCGGCACAGGCCCCTACAGCCTCGGCAGCACTCAGTAACCCCAGGATCGGGCTCTTATCATTTCTGCTTCCAGATGACTCGGGCGGCCACCAGGGCAGGCTGAGCCAGCCTCCCGCATGGTGACAGGAGTCACACGCTCTGCAGTGTGGCAGTCTGTTACCTGCCCATGACTTAACCTCTTGAATCCACCAGCTCTCTTCAAATGTTGAACTTGAATCTGAAAGAGAACTAACACTTGGCACTTGGCAAAGGGCAGCAGAGCCTGTGGGGAGGAAAGTAGCCTGGCTGAGTTCTAGCCTGGCCAGTCCCTAGCCAGCTGTGTGATCTTGATCTTTGCGCCTCCGTTTTCTCATCTGTTAAGTGAGAATCTTAATATCTGTCTCACAAAACCTGTGAGGATTTGACAAGCCAGTATAAAAGGGACTTTGAAAAATACTATGTTATACAAAAGTATGCTAGTAGCCCTGGGTCAGGCGCCAATGCTGGATGACACACAGCAGCTGTCACAGGCCCATCAGCTCCCTTTGGGCTCACATGTCCAGGGACGAACAGCTGAAGAGGTGCCAGGCCACGGGTAAATGATATCTCATTTGTAGCCCTTAACTACTTAGTAGAGAAATGAAGAAATAGCAGGCAGTGGTGTTACTCAGAAATACGGCGGTAAGTGCCAAAAGGAAAGCGGGAGGAGGAGCGGCCGCCTTGGGCATCGGGACCCTGGGGAAGGCAGGAGACGGCGCTCTGTTTTGATGTAAGCCTCGTAATCCCATTCAATTTAAAAATGTGTGTGCTGCCTCAATAAGAAGAAAAAGTTAATGCAAAAACTCTGAAATCCAAACGAGACATGTTTTTGAAAATCTGTGAGGATTTGAAAAAACAGTGCAACACTGATTCCACAAGTATTTATTGAGCGGTAATTATAGGTCAGGCATTGAGAGCCATCTGTTAGGGATTAAAGATAAGAAAGCTATAGTCTCTGGTCTTAAGAAGCCCAAGATCTGACAGGGCAACAGACCTGAATGTCTGCATTTAGCTGCAGTAAAGTGTGACAGGTGTGATGTAAGTCATGAGTGGGAGATGGTGGAGATACGGCCTGGGGACACGGTGCGCCTCAGCACAGAAGTGATGCCTAAATGGGTCTTTTGCTCCTGTGACTTTCTGCAGAAATGAACTTTTCTGATTTTCCCTTTTTTAGAAACAATGCATGCTCGTTACCAAAAAAGGGGAAAATGAATGAAAGTGTAACAGCATACCGACCTGAAAACTACCCTTTCAAAGAACCTGCTTTGACACCGTAGGGCACCAACATCCAGGTCCCTTTTCTATGCCTGCTGTGCTGAGAGTTAGTATTTGGAATGTTACTTAATTGTTTTCCTCCCTTCTCCGCTGGTGCCTGCAGCCCGCCCACCGCCAGCAGGTAGAGGCAGCTGGTCATTGCCTCCGTGGACACATGGGGCCCTAAGAGCTGGAAAATGAAGAATCCATTTCAGCAAGACCTTCTGGCTTTCCCCTCACATACCGGAGCCCTCAAGTGGGGAGAAGGTTTGATGAAATAGATAAATTAGCTTGGAGAAGGATTTTTGAATTTCCTACCACCATTGCTCCCTGCCTAGAAAGATTGACTCTGGGTGGGAAGGGAGTATAAGGGGGAGGGAGACAACAGAGAGCTCTGTGGGTCCCAAGGTCAGGGGGCCCCTGTACCCTACTTCCTTGTAGCGTGCCAGGAGTCTAGCAAGATCGCTGCATGCTGAACCTAGGAAGATAGGACCACAGACAGTGCTGCTGGAAGTTCTCACCCCAAGCCAGGTGGACATGAAAGAGCCGGAGGTGGGGACGGCCAGGAACCAGGCAGCCCCTCCCTGCCTGGGCACCACGTCAGGGAGCCCCCGATGCCAGCCCGAAGGTGGGGCAGAGCGGTAGGGATAGCTCAGTTCTTCCGCAGCTTGGTGGATGGGGTCCAGAATCAGAAATCAGGAAAGTATAGAAAATAAAGTTGTATTTCTTAGACTAAAACAAAATAAGATAAAAAACAGAATCTGTAGGCTTGATTTTACGACTCACTCTTAGTGATCATCGCTAAAGCCAAAACAAGGCATAGAATCTTCCAAGACAAACTTATTCCAGACTAGAGACCCCCGCCAGGTGGAGACATGGTCTCAGATTCTAGCTGCACATCAGGTTGCTGATTGGAGACCCGGACCAGAAGTTCTGCCAGTTTGGTGAACTTGGGTTTGTTTTTGGATGATAAGAGAGGTAGTCCGGTAACCTAGCGTTGAAATCATGGAATTGTCTTTAATTCTATGATTTATTAAACTTTCCCCCGTCATCTTATTTGTTGCCAAATCCAGCTGATCCGATGCATGTCTTTTCTGCCTAGTCCCCTGTCTCCATGGCCACCTGGCCCAGGGCCTCACTGACTCTGCCCATAGCCATCAAGACGGCCCCGTCCTCACTCCCCTAAAGCCACCCTCCCCACCAACCATCTACCCTATAATCTATCTCGACAGAGTCATCCGAATAAAGCACACGTTTAATCAAGTTACCCCCTTACTCTAACGTTGTAATAGCTACAGAATAAAGTTTAGACGTCTGGCATGCTATTGAAGGCCATGCGTTCTTTCTTTTGCCAACAGGCATTTAACTGTGTTACACCTACACTGTGTCCAGGACCTGTTCAAATTACTGGAGAACTGGAGACAAATAGGATACTTCCTGCCCACAAGAAACTCAGTCTGGCAGAAAAAAATACACTTTGGATTCATGACATTGTGTCCTGATGGATGTGATAGAGAAAGATAGGGGTGTTTGTGGGGGGTCTGATGCCAGCCTGGTGTCTCTGCTGGAGGCATGGACTCCAGAGCCTGGCTTAAGGTACCAGGGTGACCTTGGATACGTTACCCAACCTATTTGATCTATAAAGGAGAGGTCCTAATAATGGTATCTATCCAAAAGCTTGACCTGTGAATAGCAATCGTTAATTCCTAATACCAGCACCTGGCACGCTGTGAGCTCCCTTTCAGGGTTAGTGAAATTAATCATCAATCTCATTCCTAACACGTCCTGCCTTTTCCCATTTCTGCACCTTGGCTTACACTGTTTCTTTAATTTGCAAGGTTCCCGCTTGCTTAAATGTCACACAGCTCAGGCATTATGCAAATGCTACCGTGTCCGGGATGTTCTCCGTACCCAGTCCCCGCGTGGAAGCACTCTTTCCAATTTGCTCCCATAACAATTGTCACATTTGACATTATTGCGGTTATTTGTCACTACTACTAATGTCATGTGCATTCTTTTGCTTTGCGTATGTGTCTCTCCTCCAGGAGATTTCGTCTCTTGAGAGTCAGCAACATGAGGAGGTGGAAAAGTATAACATTTGCCCAAATCCCCTATGTTCAAATACCTGTGTTGCTACTTCCTGGCTTGTTGGAATTAGGCTTAACCTTTTCCAGCTTCATCGGCTTCATTTTTGTAAAAGAATAAGAATATTAATCCTGGGCAACAATTGGGAAGATCGGAAATAATACTTGGAAAACTCCTGAGGGTAGGTCACGATTTGGAAATCTCTAACTGTGAAGACAGTGATCGGTCATAAAAGCGCAAACACCGCAGGGATAATGACCTGGGGCTGACATTCTGCAGCTCCCTTTCGTGTCTGCTTTAATCACAGCCCTTTGCCCAGGGTAAAGGTGGACCATTATGTCTCCTGGTCACTAAGCCGCCCTCCCTTGCCCCTCTTCTTCTCCCCCTCTCGGCTCCTTCAACCCGCCTCTTGATTTTCCACTCCTTCCACTTGGCCCTGGTCCTCCCCTCACATCGGGAAAACCTGCTTGTGAAGTCAGCCGCCTCCCACCCTGCAGTTGGAGCCCAAACGACGACTCAGTCCTTTCTATCTGTCGTGCTCACTTCTGACGACCAATCACTTAAAAATGACACTTTCATGAGGTCACCTCCCTGCTGAAAAGCCTTGTGCATCGGCCCTTGGCCCCACGCTCCTTGACCGCCTTTGTCAGAGCCAGGCCCCGGCTTTGGGGGATCGGGCAGGAGGGGCAGCAAGAACCACAGCCAGGCCCTGAGACCATCTCCCCTTCCTTTGGGAGGCTAGCTCTCCTGGTATTAATATCTCTTGGTATTGTCACTCTGGGGAGAGGGCATGCAGAGGGCTTCAGTCAGATGTGAGGGTCCTGCTGACATGGTGGTCTCTGCAGGGTCAGTACTCCATTTTCCACTGAGGAACCCCTCACGAAGGTCTCCCCAGGACCTCATCTCCTGCTGCCCCAACAGAACTGATTGTCCCCAAACATTTTTCAGGACTGGATATCCCATTACCTGGCTCCCACAGGTAATGGTGCATTCGTGGGACTCTGACCCATCCTGTGAGCCACAGGAAGGGCCGAGCTGCCCTCCACAGCCTCCTGGGCTGTGAAGGCTCCAATGGGGCAGGGCGGGTCTGGTCCTCTTCCCAAGACATCACACGGTGGACAGTCCTAACCGCCCTCCACCTTCAGAAATCCCCAGACCAGAAACAGGCCCCAGTCTACTCAGGTCTCCTCTGAACTTGGGAGCATGGGCTGGGGGCGGGGACCAGGCCTCCCGAGACCACGAGTGCGTCTGCTGCAGCCCACCCCCACCAAGAGTCTCACCAGGAATCCTATAAGCCTCCGGGCTGCTCTCTTTCCCTCGTCCCCCTATGTACGTCTGGCTGAGCTGGGCTTCTGTCACTTCTGACTGAAAGAGTTCTAACATGTACAAACCCAGATTCATGCCATGCGCAAAAATATATTTTAGATAGGTGAACTATTTAAAGCTTAAAGAACAAAAGTATGAAAATATAAATAGAAAATATAGGAGGCAATGTATATAATCTACACACTTTTCTAAAAACAGCACAAATTCCAAGGGCTATCAAGGAAAAGATAAAGTAATTTTACCTACATAAAAAAATGACTTATGTAGGACATAAGATAGTATAAACAACACAATAAAAACAAGTATCAGGCTGGTGAAAACATTTGAGGTATTGTTACATGTATGGTAGAAAACAGTTAATATCTCTAATATACCAAAAGTTCCTAAAAATAAGAAAAATAACTTAATTTTTAAAAAGAGCAAGAAATATGAACCAGTTACTCTTGATTTATAAACTTAAGCGGGTCCTCAAATTCACTAGTGGCCTGAGAAATGAAAATTAAAAAGAGAAACAATTTGTGCCTATCAGATGATTAGACTTGTTATTTTTTTTTTATCATATAATGTAGATATTTTATTCCAGCTCTGGAAATGAAAAAAAAAAAGGGGGTGGGGGCGGGAATAAGGGAACACATCCTTCCGCACACCATTCTAATTTAGCTGACATTAATTTGGAAAAGCTAAAGCATATATATATACACATATAGATGAATAAATATTTATACGTATGCACATACATATTTTTTCAGATTTTAGTCTCACTGGTGTTCATGTATTTACACACTTTTATTTTTTATAAGCACTCTTGAAATTCAGATGCATCCTAATACATCCGCCTCTGCTTCCTCATCAACTTTTTAGTATCGTTTGGATTGTATTCACAGTCTGTGTTTTAGTCATTTATGGGACTGGTCAGACTGACTATTGGACGTTGTAAGGGGAAAACCTAGTTTAGGTTATATATACTCTGTGCATCAGTGTTACCCATCGCGTGATTTTTCATCATCATTTGCACCTTGTAGTTCGCTAGGCAGACTATTTCAGCTTCTAGAGCTGGACCTGTGACCCAGGAGCTCGGGGTCAGGCACAAACTGTATGGTATCCCAGGTGGATTCTGAGTTGGTCTTTGTCTTGTAGCTAAGCTCTGTTGCCAAAGGCACTGAGGGTTTCAGGTCAAGAGCTGTCTTTGCAGGTGCTTCTATTTCCGTAGAGCTTGCTAGCTTAGCTTTATCTTTAGGCTCAGGAAATGACTCTCCCTGGCTGTGTTTTGCCCACAGTGATCTGACTGCTTCATGAATTTGCTGGCTTGTAGCACAGGCCTGATTTCCAGTTACTTTTGCAATTAGTACTGACTGACTGGGCAGCAAACAGTTGCTCCTATCGTGGCCAGTCCCAGTGGATAAGCAATTTTCTTAAACCTCGAACCTTTTCTGGCTGAAACCGAGCCTGCCAATCCTGAAACCGTAGCCACTCCAATTTTTGGATGAAAGTTGCGAGGTGGAGTCTTCAGGTAGACATATGCATCTTTTCCAAACGGTACTGTACCCGTTATCCCATTTTTCACAAAGACGTAAATACCGTTGCACCAGCCAGTTGTAGTGCGGACGGATGCAAAACCCTTTTGTAAATGACCAGACTGCTCTTCAACGTATTTAGTCTGAAGAGGTGGTGCCCTGTACATGGGGAACTGCTCTGGTTTCACTGGCTGCTTTTTTGACTCTTCTTTGACTGCATGCCGACTTACAGATGCACATACCAGACCTGCAAGCACGGCTGTCTGCCTCCCCATCCTAACGGCAGCCATATCTGTGACTCCCTGTGCCCCAGTTTTCATACCAGACAATCATCATGAAAAATGCTAGTGATACCCAGTGTTGCCACAGAGGAGAAAGTTAACTCTCACACCTGTTGGTGCACACTTCTCAGAGAATGACTCGATGGAATCCATTGACATGTGATGTAAACATACCTACTGTCTTGGCAATTCTGCTTCTAGGAATCTAGCTACAGAAATACTACATGAGTGCACGAAGGTATGTGGGAAACAAGTGGTAACAGAAGCGTTGACTGATAGGGACTAGTTAAATAAATGATTCCATTCTGCAGAATGCTACGCAGCCACGCAAAAGAGGGGATTAGACCTGTGTGTGCCAACATAGAAAGATGTCCATAATTAGAGCTGATTTAAAAAGGAAACCTGTGGAACAGTGTGTACAGTGTAACTATCTATTTCTAGCCATCCTCTGTCTGTCTGTATCTATCTATCTATCTATCTATCTATCTATCTATCTATCTATCTATCTATCATCTATCATCTATCATCTATAAGTATCTTCTATCATATCACTGTATCATCTATCTACCTACCCATTTATCCAGTTGTTGTAAGGGCTTGTATGACATAAGGTACAGAGCACAGGCCATTGACCCAGTACACCTGGGTTGGAATCCTGGCCCTGTGACTAACTAGCAGGGTGAACTAGATTTCCTTTGTCTCAGTATACTCATAACCCTAAGAACAAGGGAGCTAATACATATAAAGCATTTAGAATAGTGGCTGGCATACAGGAGGAAGTGCCATAGAGGTGTTGGCTGCAGTGACATAATAAGTACATAGACACCAAAGAATCCAGAGTGTTGCCTCTGAAGGGTGGGTAGAGATGGCAGTATAGTGGAGAGACCCTCACTTTTGCCTTACTTTTCTGTATTTTAAAAAACTTTATGAGTTTCTTTCTCATAAACGTGTATGACTTTCAAGTTTTAAGCATAGTGAAACGAAAACATTCCCAAACGGCTGAGTCTGGAGAGAAAGGAGCTCTCCCTGCTGTGGGTCCCAACAATATTCTTGATCCCTGACACCACATGCCACATGCGGATGCCACTGTGTGTGCACACATGTCCCATGTGGCCTGTGCCATGTCGACAGAGTACTTCAGTCCTCCCTGGGCTGTAGTTTTCAAATTTCTCTAGTAAATTATGAGGAGCCTGGAAAGGGTTAGACTCTTACCTGGACGGCTTTGTACTGGGTTCCTTAACAAGAGAAGGCAGGGCCAACAGGAGGAAGAGCAGCAGCGCCAGCAGCAAGAGCCACCGGACAGCGCGGCCCAGAGGCCCCAGTCTCCACCGGCACAGCTTCATGCTGGGGTGTCGGGCCCTGCAGGAAATTTCTGCATATCTTGGAGCTTTGATGTGGACAGCAGATAGTTTAGCCACTGGGATCTCCTGGCCAGGGAGTGCCACCATTTGTCCTACAAGGAGACACCCCGGTAACCACAGAGCCAGAGGAAGGAGGAGCCACCGCTGCTGCTTTATGAAGGCTTGTAGGCTGACGCGGCTGGAAGGAAGAGAAACTCCTTTTGTTCAAACAAGTTCACCTGCCTTTTCTTTGTTTCTGAAGCCAGTTTCTGATTGCAGAACTTTATGAGAAACATGCATCACTTTCATGAGGCTCCAAGCCCTTGGGGACTTCGTCTGACAAGCCGCGGGCGGCAAGAACCTTGCATGACTTCTGCACTCAACATGGGTTTTATAAGAAAAATACAGGGAACCCATTTAGGTCGGAGAACCCCGCAGCCCACAGCAATCTCTGCACTGAGAAACTACTGACTGGAGCTGCCAGAATGTCCCCTTTCCAAAGCATTTAGAGCAGAAGCTCTCAGTCTGGGGTGCACATGAGGATTAAGCTTTAAAACATCCCAATGCCCGGGCTACACCTCAGCCAATTAAACCCTAAACTCTGGAGGTGGGTATTTTTCCAGGAGTGTATATTTTTTGTGGCTGTGATGTGTGGCCAAGTTGAGAACCCCTGATCGGTAGCCATTCTGTTCAGCCTTCCCAGCTCCTGATCTGAGGTCACTGCGGCCGTGCTCTTCTGAGCCAGGCGCTCAGGATGCTGTGCACATGCTGATGCAGCCTTGCGGCCACTCCAGCTGAGCACAGTTCTCAACCCCATGTTACAGTGGAGGAAATCGCATCGGTAAGTGAGCAGCCTGCCCAAGATCACAGAGTGAACCAGCCTATATAGACGGCATTCTTGGAGCATTGTCTCTGAGGAATTAACTCAGAGAAAAACTATCAAAATCAATTGTTAGAGAACTTAGAAAATTCTGAGTAGCAGTCCTCCATAAAGTGCTGTGGGTTAATAATTTGTAAAATACTGCTTACAGTTAGTTGAAACACACAGGTGTTTTCCAGCAGTGGAAGGGGGAAGTGCAGCTTGGGGCTTTGAGGATCTGGGGACCCGGGTTTGTTACGCACACATGGCTGTGCGTGTTCCTCTGAATGCAAAGCTCCCAATTCCGTACGCAATGTTCCTGGCTTTCGCCCAGGGCATGCACCAATAAATGCTTAAGCCACCTTCCCCAGGGCGGATGAAAGACAGAAGAACATGCTTCTGAAGTGACTAGATGAATAATAGACACATGTGACAGGCTCCCTTTATCCATACCATACACGCAACTGTCCCAGAGGATGGCTGGCAGCAAGGAGGGCCATCTCTCTTAGTACCATTCAGTCTCCCTTTCTCTCCGAGCACAACTAACCTGCAGGTGTTCACACACCGACTCTGAACATTTTCTGAATAGACTCATATCAAATCATAACTCTTTGCCTTTACTAACCGTCTGCCCAGGGTTCGCCTCCATGCTCAGCTCGAGCAGTTACCCTTCACCTGGTACCTGACACCTGTTTGCAATGCTAGGCAAATGGAGTGAACGGTGGGAAGGCGTCTTCTTACCCTCAGCCCTGGTTTGACTAAATGGAGTGTCTCTTTCATCTCACCACCCACTTTGGAGCAGGCACTGGCTGTCAGCGCTGTCCGACACCCACAGAGCATGGAGAGCCAGCCAAGCTCCTGTACACGGTCTGGGCCTCTCACCACCTCAAGTGGGGCTTGGGCTTGGAGTTCCTGCAGCCAACTGGTAGGGGGGAGGATAGTGGAGAGCCCTGGTCCCCTGCTCTCAGGGTCCAGCCCAAGGCACCTGTGCAGAGCGGGAGAGCCAGAGAAACACAGGTTTTTGTGGAAACTGACTTTCCAGCAGTTTTTCAAATATCATCAAAGACTTTAGTTTTTCTTTTTACTGGCCATGCAGATAAGCGTTCTTAAAAGGTAATTTTCAGTAAAAGGAAAAATCACGACTCTCATACAGATACGAAGCATGGAATTCTTCTAGTTGGAAGGAGCTCAAAGTTTTTTCCTGTATCTTTTGGGCCCTGGTGGTTTTCAGTTCAAAATAATCTTCATGCCGAAGTGGCACGCTCTGGGGGCAGCCTGCTCCTATAGATGTCCTCTCAGAAACCACTGCCCACCCCGGGGCATCCTCTGCTGCTCTTCTATTCTGTATTTCATCTGTTCACAGTCATTTTTATTATTTCCTTCTTTCTACGTGCACTGGGTTTAGGTTGCTCTCCTTTCTAGTTTCCTAAAGTGGAAAGTCAGGTTAACTTTTCTGAAATATTCCTCCTTTCTTAAATAGAGGTTTCACATTTCCTTCTAGGCATGCCCTCGACTACATCCTGTAATTGCTTCATTTTCACATATCTCAAAATATTTTCTAATTTTCCCCTGGTGACTTTTTTGACCCATTGGTTATTTATGAGCATTAATTTCCATGTATTCATGAATTCCCCAAATTTCTTTCTGTTGTTAATTTTTAATTTAATTCCTTGTGGTTGGAGAAAAAGTCTGTGTGATTTCAACCCTTTAAAATCTACTGAGGTCATGGCTTAGCCTATGGCCCGTTCTAAAAAATATCTATGTACACTTTCTCTCCGAGCACAACTAACCTGCAGGTGTTCACACACCGACTCTGAACATTTTCTGAATAGACTCATATCAAATCATAACTCTTTGCCTTTACTAACCGTCTGCCCAGGGTTCGCCTCCATGCTCAGCTCGAGCAGTTACCCTTCACCTGGTACCTGACACCTGTTTGCAATGCTAGGCAAATGGAGTGAACGGTGGGAAGGCGTCTTCTTACCCTCAGCCCTGGTTTGACTAAATGGAGTGTCTCTTTCATCTCACCACCCACTTTGGAGCAGGCACTGGCTGTCAGCGCTGTCCGACACCCACAGAGCATGGAGAGCCAGCCAAGCTCCTGTACACGGTCTGGGCCTCTCACCACCTCAAGTGGGGCTTGGGCTTGGAGTTCCTGCAGCCAACTGGTAGGGGGGAGGATAGTGGAGAGCCCTGGTCCCCTGCTCTCAGGGTCCAGCCCAAGGCACCTGTGCAGAGCGGGAGAGCCAGAGAAACACAGGTTTTTGTGGAAACTGACTTTCCAGCAGTTTTTCAAATATCATCAAAGACTTTAGTTTTTCTTTTTACTGGCCATGCAGATAAGCGTTCTTAAAAGGTAATTTTCAGTAAAAGGAAAAATCACGACTCTCATACAGATACGAAGCATGGAATTCTTCTAGTTGGAAGGAGCTCAAAGTTTTTTCCTGTATCTTTTGGGCCCTGGTGGTTTTCAGTTCAAAATAATCTTCATGCCGAAGTGGCACGCTCTGGGGGCAGCCTGCTCCTATAGATGTCCTCTCAGAAACCACTGCCCACCCCGGGGCATCCTCTGCTGCTCTTCTATTCTGTATTTCATCTGTTCACAGTCATTTTTATTATTTCCTTCTTTCTACGTGCACTGGGTTTAGGTTGCTCTCCTTTCTAGTTTCCTAAAGTGGAAAGTCAGGTTAACTTTTCTGAAATATTCCTCCTTTCTTAAATAGAGGTTTCACATTTCCTTCTAGGCATGCCCTCGACTACATCCTGTAATTGCTTCATTTTCACATATCTCAAAATATTTTCTAATTTTCCCCTGGTGACTTTTTTGACCCATTGGTTATTTATGAGCATTAATTTCCATGTATTCATGAATTCCCCAAATTTCTTTCTGTTGTTAATTTTTAATTTAATTCCTTGTGGTTGGAGAAAAAGTCTGTGTGATTTCAACCCTTTAAAATCTACTGAGGTCATGGCTTAGCCTATGGCCCGTTCTAAAAAATATCTATGTACACAGAAGAATGTGGGTTCTGTTGTTGGGTGGGGCGTTTTACAGATATCTGTTAGGCTTATAATCTAACAGATGTCTGGTAGGTTGTTAGGTTCATAATCTTCACCTCTGTCATATTCTGCTTGACAATTGTGTCCCCTATTGAAAATGAAGTATAGAAGTTCCCAGCTGTTACTGTGGAATTGTCCCCTGTCCCAGCAAGTCCGTCAGGTTTTGTCTTGTGTATTTTGGATGTCTGTTGTTAGATGTACAAGTGTTTTTATAACTGTTATATCTTCTTGATAGCATGGCCTTTTTTTAATCATTATAAAATGTCCCTCTTTATCTCTAGGAACAGTTTTTAATCTTAAAGACTGTTTGTCTGATATTACTCTGACCCTCTTATGGTTGCCATAAGTATGGAATAATTTTTTCATCCCTTTACTTATAACCATTTTGCATCTTTGAATCTAATGCGTGTCTTTTGTAGATAGCTTATCATTGGATCTTGGTTGTCGTTTCTTCGATCCAGCAGGATATTTCTGCCTTTTGATCAGATTGTTTAAACCACTCACACTTAGTGATATTATTGATATGGGGGATTTATATCTACCGTTTTGCTTTTTGGTTTTTATGTCTCATGATTACTTTGTTCTCCTCCTTTACTACTTCTGTTCCTCTTAAGAGAGTATTTTCTAACATAATGTTTAAATTCATTTAATGCTTTTTAACTTGTTTTTGTGTGTTGTTTTCTTAGTGTTTGCTATTGGACTTAAAATTGTTCCAGATCTTTTTTAACATACGTATTCACTTACTGGAATCTCCTTCTTAACTTAATTCCAGTAAGAAATAGAAACTTTAACTCTATAGAGTTCTTTTCCTCCCTCTTCTCATGATAATCTTGTTATATACATTTTATGTCTGCATATGCTACACAGTAACAATACATTCTTATAATTATTGCTTTACGGAATTTTATGCATTTTAAAGAGTATTCACTTACTGGAATCTCCTTCTTAACTTAATTCCAGTAAGAAATAGAAACTTTAACTCTATAGAGTTCTTTTCCTCCCTCTTCTCATGATAATCTTGTTATATACATTTTATGTCTGCATATGCTACACAGTAACAATACATTCTTATAATTATTGCTTTACGGAATTTTATGCATTTTAAAGAAGCAAAGGGAAAAAAGGACAGCACGAGTGTATTTCTGGAGTTAAAAAACGTTGATCTTCTTATTTACCACTTCCGGGTCCCTATTTCTTCAGGTAGGTTTGTATTACCTGTGCTGCTGTTTCCTTTGATAAGCTTCATCTTACCACCTTCCTTTGTGTTATTGTCAAGTATATTAACATTTCTGCATGTTATAAGCCCAACAACACACAGTTTTATACATGTTGTTTTATGTAACTGCTTTTTAAATAAGTTAAGGAATACAAATAAATAAGTACACTATCTTTTATCACTGTGTACATAATTTTTTTGATTGGTCATGAGATTCAAATGACTGTTTGGAGTTGTTTCCTTTCTGCTTGAAGAACTTTAGGTACTTCTTGTAAGGACAGTCTGTGAGCAAAGAGTTCTGTAAGATTTTGGTTAATTTGTAGCGTCTTTGTCCTTCTTTCCATTCTGAATGCTCGCTGATGCCAGGTTTTGGGTGGGCACCTGTTTCCTTCCAGCCCTTGGGATGTGCCTTCCCACCGCCCCTGGCCTCCAGTGTTTTTGAAGAGAGTTCAGATGTGAAACTTACTAACACTTGTATAAGATTGTTGTTTCTTGAGGCTTTCAAGAAGTTATCTGCTTTCCACATCTTGACTATGATGTATCTGGGCGTGGATCTCTTTGTATTTATCCAACCTGAATCTTGTTGGGCTTTAATGTGTAGATTGGAGTTTGTCACCAACTTTGGGGAGTTTCCAACTATAATTTCTTTGACTATTTTTCTCTCTCCTCCTTTCCATCATGCATATGCTGGTGTCTTGATGGTGTTCCCACGTTTTTTTGAGGGACTTCATTTTCCTCATGTTTTTCTTAGTGTTCTTCAGATTGCATAATCTGTCAATCTAGCTTCGTGTTGGCTAATGATTCTGCAAAATCAGATCTATTCCTGAGCCCCTCTAGAGCATTTTCCATTTCAGTGATTATGCTTTTCAACTCCAGAATTTCTATTTGGTTTCTTAAAAAACAATTTCCATCCCTTGATTAACATTCTCTATTTCATGAATCATCATTATCATTAATTCTTTAATTCTTTTTATTTTTTTGCATATCCCTCCCTGCCTTCCTTAATTCTTTAAACATAGTTTCCTTTGTTTTT